AGTGTGATTGGCTCACCTTGCATCGGCGCATGGGGCATGTGGCCCTGCCCATCTTGCAGCAGCTAGTGAAGAATGAGATGGTTGCTGGCATACGTGTGAAGGGGGAGCCCGATGAGGTGCTTGGCTGCCCGACGTGCATTCAAGCCAAGTTCACCCGGTTTCCGTTCCCTAGTTCGGAGGCAACGGCAAAGGCACCGCTTGATGAGGTGGTGATGGACGTGGTGGGCCCCCTGAAGCTTGGAGCTGCTGGAGCTGAGTATTTTCTCACCATTGTCGACGTCTACACCCGCATGACTTGGGTGTACGTGCTGGCCAAGAAGAGCGACGTGGCTGAAACGTTGAAGACGGATTGGTTCCCGATGGTGGAGCGGCAACAAGACCGTCTAGTCAAGTCAATCCGCACCGATCGAGGGGGAGAGTTCCTGAGCAAGGAGTTTGGGTTGTGGCTGAAGAAGAATGGTATTCGGCACTCCCTCACCATGCCATACTCCCCTGCAATGAACGGCATCGCCGAGCGAGCGAACCGCACAATCACGGAGGCGGCACGCGGGTTGCTCATTGAAGCCGGGCTACCCGACTATTTCTGGCCTGATGCGGTGCGGAGCGCGTGTGTGGCCAAGAACAGAGCCTTGACTCATGTGGGAGCAGACAAATGGGTGCCCTATGTGGAGTGGCTAGGAAGGAAGCCAAAGGTGGATATGCTTCGGGTGTTCGGGTGCATGTGCATGGCGCTCGTGCCTAAGCATCTTCGGCACAACAAGCTTGGTGCCAAGGCGGTGTGGGCCGTGCACTTGGGCATGGCTCAAAACAGCAAGGGATGGCTTCTTTGGGACCCATTCACCAAGAAGTTCTTGGTGAGCAGGGACTGCAAGTTCATGGAGAACTTCATGTACAAGGATTGGAAGGCGGAGAATGAGGCGAAGATAGGCGTGCGGTTTGGGGAGGTGAAGAGTTCCGGTTTGGAGCATGTGGAGCTGCCTTTGGAGCTGAGCAGCGGCAGCACAACCACAAGGCAATCCTCCCTTGTGAATGGGGGAGAGGAGGCCAATGATGCAGAGGAAGAAGAGGAGGAGGTGCAGCAAGTGAGCGAGCGTGCACCGTCACTCCCTTCCCGTACTACGAGTGCTCCACGGATTCGAGCCACACCGCAGCAACGCCAAGGCCTTCAAGTCCCTGCAGCTGAGGAGGAAGGAAGGGGGAAGAGGAGAGTTCAACCCCCTAATAGGCTGACCTATGATGCGCCGGGAAAGCAGGGCAAGACAGCCCTGGCCGGAGCGGCAATGATGGTCGGAGACGACGAGGAGAGTGACTACGAGGAGTGTGCCTTCGCGTTCTTCTCTCCGGTGGAGATGCCGGGAGAACCAGCAACTCTCAAGGAGGCTTTGGAGAGTAGTGATTCTGAGGAGTGGAAGAAGGCCATGGAGAGTGAGCTGAAGAGCATCGAGGAGAATGACACGTTTGAATTGGTGGAGCTACCGGAGGGGCGTACGGCGATAACGTCCAAGTGGCTCTTCAAAATCAAGTCGGATGCCGACGGCAAGATCGAGCGCTACAAGTCTAGGCTTGTAGCCAAGGGGTACCAGCAGAAGGAGAAGGTGGACTTCAAGGAGCTGTTTGCCCCTGTGGTGAAGCCGACGACGCTGCGAACCCTATTCGCGGGAGCCGCCATCAAAGGATGGGTAGTAAAGCAAATGGACATCGTAACGGCATTCCTTAACGGCATCCTTGAGGAGGAGATTTTTATGGCGCAGCCAGAGGGGTTTGATGATGGTAGTGGCAGAGTGTGGGAGCTGAAGAAGGCCCTCTATGGGCTGAATCAGGCCCCTAGGCAATGGTACATGAAGCTGCGCGAAGTGTTGGAGGGGATCGGCTCCACTCCCTCAACGGCCGATCACTCCTTGTTCATGCTTGGCGAGGGGGAGCAGAGGAGTTTCATGGTGGTTTATGTGGATGACATCCTCATTTTCTCACCCTCTTCTGACCTTGTGAAGGAGGTGATGCTGAAGCTTCAAGACAAGTTCAAGTGCAAGGCCCTTGGTGACGTGAGCTTCTACCTTGGGCTCCACATCGAACGAGATGTGGAGAAGCGGTGCATGCGGGTGCATCAACAAAAGTACCTGGAGGCATTGGCTGCCAACTTTGGGCAGAGTTAAGGCCATGTGGCTACACCCTTTCCCTCTGGGTTCAAGTGTGTGAAGGGACCAGAGGAGGAGAGCGTTGGTGAAGAGGAGAGGCGCCGATTTCACTCGTTGGTGGGCAGCCTCATGTATGCGGCGGTAAACACCCGACCGGACGTCGCGTTTGCTACCGGGCAGCTGGCTAGGGTTGTGCAATGCCCTAATGAGGAGCAGGTAGCAGCTGGAATGAGGGTGGCCAAGTATCTTGGCCAAACACCGACCGTTGGGCTGCAATACTCGGCGGCGGCACAAAGGCGCCAAAAGGGCGCGGATGGTGTTGAACCCGGGCGTTTGTTCCTCACCGCCTACTCGGATGCTTCATATGCATCAGAACCAGAGGACATGACAAGTGTGGGAGGCTTCATATGCTGTGTTGGTGGAGGCCCAACTGCTTGGGAGAGCAAGAAGCAGGTTGACCAAGCTTTGAGCTCGGTGGAGTCCGAGTACATGGCACTCTTCCGTGCCGTACGGGAGATTGTGTGGCAGCGGCGTTTGTTGGCTGAATTGGGGGAGGAGCAGCAAGGACCTACCCCACTGTACTGTGACAGCCAGGGTGCCATTGCTCTTGCTAAGAACCCTGTGTTGCATGGACTCACGAAGCACATGAGGGTGAAGTGGCATTGGACGAGGAGCATGGTAACCGCGGGTGAAGTTGAGTTGCGCTACGTGAAGACCACGGGGCAGCCGGCTGACATGATGACCAAGAGGCTGGTGGAGCAGCAGCATTGGAAGTGTTGCAAGCTGGCTGGGATGGCTATGAACTGAGAGAGCAACATATCCTAAGGCCAACAATCCGAGGGGGAGTTTGTTGGTGCAACCCTACGGTTTGCACTCGGCTTGTTGTCCGTGTGCGTGCATGTGTGTGTGTATGGAATGGTATGAGGGCATGGGATAATATATATTTCATGCTTATAATTGTGTGTGAATGTTGAGTCATGATGTCGAGTGTGTGTGTCGAGTCAATAGCGAGTTATCGCTGGACGCGTGTTACGCGGTCGTTTGTGTCTCGCGCGCGGTTTCTATTTTGTCGTGCGCGGTTTCTATTTTGTCCTGTGTCGAACGTTCGGCGTGTCGTAGGTGTGTGCAGCAGACCCATCAAGAACTCAAGGATGAGTTTGTGATGAAGAGCCCGAGCCTTGGTGTCAAGCCTCAAGTGATTTCGAAGCTTGCCAAAAGGGTACACCTCAAGATATTGAAGATAGTTACATTACTTTGTGTAGTGTAACATTTCACTTGGTGTAGGCCCTAGTGAAGGGTAGTTTCGAGACCCTTCGTGGTTGGGGACAGTGTGGCACTGTTCCACATCACTGTACCTCGGCTCTTGGGGTTTGTAGGAGCTGGGAGTCATTCCCAACTCGTAACTCTTCCTATCTTGTGTTCTAAGACTATAGTGGCTGCCATAGTACCGTTCGTTCAAACCGACGCTGTGTCGTCAATTCTTTATCAAATCGTGCAATCTAAATTGCTAATTGTAGACGACGTGAAGACGCTCCAGATCCAATTTGAATCAAGTCATTTGCAGCTGTGAGCAGAACGCTATCAACGTTTGAAGCCGCTGTGCAGAAATCCGTCTGTGCTCTCTATCTTTCGTTTTAGGCACATTCAAGCCTATTGTGACTATAACATGGACGCTAGGCTAGGAACGGCGGAGGTGAACCTAGGAGTCTTAGGAGCGCCAGTGGAGGAGGAAACCGGGCTAGGGGCTAGAGGCTAGGAGCTAGGTGCGACTCGGGTCGAAATCTAGTGACCGGAGCGAGAAGCGGCTGCCATCCGCTGAGTGAAAAGCCAGTAGCAGTAGGAACGGTTTTCGCCCGGGGGACAGGGCGGTGGAGGGGGGGGGGGGGGAGAAGGAACGAATTGTTGAGCGCGGGTTGGGTGAGGGCGCGAGCTAGGAGGGCGCGGTGGCTAGGTGAGAAGCGGCGGTTGGGACGTTAGGAGGAAATGGCGCGTGGGTGAGGGCGCGGCCGTTGGCGAGGGCGTCGGTAGGGCGCGGGCGAAAACGAGGGCGCAGGCTAAGGCGGGGGCGCAGGCCTAGGCGAGGGCGCGGGCTAAGGCGAGGGCGTGTGCCTAGGCGAGGGCGCGGGCTCGGCGCAGGCTAGGCGCGGAGGGCGCGGTGGACGCGGAGGGCGCGAGGCGCGGGCGGCGCTCGGGTGCGGGCTAAGGCGCGGGCTAGGCGCGGAAGGCGCTCGGGCGCGGGCTAGGCGCGGACGACGGGGGAGGGCGAGGGCTAGGTGCGCGGAGGGCGCTAGGGCGTGGAGGGCGCTAGGGCCCGGAGGGCGCGGAGGGCGCGGAGGCGCGTTAGGGCGCGAAGGGCTCTAGGGCGCGGAGGGCGCTAGGGCGCGTGACGGAGGGTGCGTAGGGAACGGAGGGCGCTGGGGCGCGAGCTAGGTAGGGATCTAACCTACTCGTGATACCATCTCAGAATGGGAATGCAATGGAATGGATGAACTAGGAAAGCAAGGGATACAAATAGCAACCCTAAAAGTGTTGTACCCCCTAGAGTGCTACTCACTGTAGCCTAAGCACATATAACAACATTTGACAAAAGGTTATCACCATACTTTTCTTAGATTTTGTGCGGGCAATTTCAATTTCTCTAAAAACAACCACGTTAACAATTCACTCGCGCATGCTCTTATTGTATCATCTGTATCATTGTACCAATGCTGGAACAACTTACTTTGCTGTCAAAAGCTTGCTGTGGCTTCACTTCGTTCTTCAATAAAAGCAGTTATATACAAGCAGGAAACGTACATATTGACAAGATTTGCTAACAGCAGCACGCAGGAAACAAAAGGACGCAGGAAGAAAATGAGTATTCACTTATGCATGGATCGGTACAGCCACTTTCATGTTGAAAGCAGAGCAGTGGCCAGGCACACTGCATGAGAAGAGAATGGATGTGCCCTTGGCTGAAGCTGGAACCTTGTACCTGACACACGATTCAAACGATGAGTGGACAGCGCAAGCCAAAGCCATCTCAGAAACACTTGCAACACAGGATGGTAACAGTCGCCTCAACTACTTGGGAGCAAGAGATTCCTAAAACAGGAATGAAGGGCTGTGGCAGTGGCAGCAGAAACCCAAGCCACCGGAAAGGTGTCCAGCTGTGCAAAGATTCAACAACGTGCTGGACAGCACGCCCTCTTGCACTCCCCCCCACCTGTTATGAACCCTCTCTCCTCAGCGGTACTCCTTAAGTCGCAAGTATCGTGCGCATCTACAGTGCATTGTCTCAACTCAAAACGCTCTCTGCACACTCACAGTCAACCACGGATGCCATACCGGTCTACTTACCAGCCGCCCCCAAGTCGCAGGCAGCATGCATGCCCACAGTGCCATGTCTCACCTCAAGAAGCGCTTTGCACACTCACTTGTACTTCCCCACAGATGTGATGCCGGTCTTCCTAGTGGCCGCCCCAAAGTCACAGGCATTGTACGCATCCATGGTGTTCATGGTCCACACGTCATGCGGAATGCCCCTCCATTTGAACACTGCAGGCAGTGACGCAGACAGAGGCAGGGAAGCACAAGCAAGTGAGCGACAGCCTTCCATGCATTGTACGCATCCATGGTGTTCATGGTCCACACGACATGCGGGATGCCCCTCCACTTGAACACTGCACGGAGTGGCACGGACCGTGGCAGGGACGCATAGGAAAGTGAGGCCATTCCGATGAGGTCAGTGCGATGAGGCCAGTGGAATAAGACGGACCAATCTAAGCAATGCTGCAGGGTGAATGTAACCACGGGAGCGCTATAAGAAGACGCAGAGGACTATAAAAGGAAGAAGAATGTAACCAGCGGAACCGATAAAACTGTCTTTCGTGGAGATAGCATCCCCTTGCAACGACCACTGCCAAGGAGGGGCAGTGTGGGTGCGATGAGTGCACGAAGGGGAGGAGGCGTACCGAGAGTGTCCCCTGCGTGAATGACGCCCTTTGGCTTCCACTTCTTCACGCCGTATCCCCACGGACTGAGCCCACTGTGAACACCTTCGCCTGTTGGGCAAGGCGATGGCAGAAGGTAAGACGAAGACACAAAGATACAGAGGGTGAAGAGACAACGAGATGAAGAGAGGCAGACAGTTGAAGGGATGGTGCAGAAATGTGTGGAGAGGGTAAGGTGGAGAGGGTAAGGTGGAGAGGTCGAACGGAGGGGCTTGAGAAGAGCAAGGGCACGAAAAAAAGGAACGGGTGAGGAGGAGGGAGATGGAGGGATGGTGCATGCGAGGGCGTGAGTTGTGTGCGAGAATCGAGGCGGACACAAACGAGTACAGGAGGAATGACGAGTATGACTCAGAAAGAAAGGAGTCTTTGAGTAATAGTAGCAGTGAGATTCGGCAGGAGGAAAAGGCATGACGACAGGGGAGCATGTGAGAGACAGGGGAGAAGGCAGGAGGGCAAGAGAGCAAGAGGCAAGGGGCAGGAGGGTAAGAGAGCAGTACCTCTGATTGGATTGCGCCTGCCACCAGGGTATGTGTGGAGGGGGGTTCGTGGGGGGAAGCAGTGGGGAGAAAGAAAATAAAAGACACAGGAAGGGGGAAAGCGGGGGGGATGAGCGAGTAACGAAAACAAAGGCTTCCAGGAGCGAGATGATGGGTGAACAAGCGCAGCAGAGCACGAGGGCAGGAGAGCAGGAGGGCAGGAGGGCAGGAGAGCAGCAGAGCAGGACCAGGGGGGTGAACAGACTGGCGGCAGAGACTCTTCAAGAAGCAAGAAAGTCAGGAGCACGTGCTTAAACAGCTGTGACCGAAGTACGCGGCGAAAGCTGAGGCTAAGCGTGAGGTTGATGCGAGAAACGCGGGAATTGCGAGGAAGTAACGACGCGGAGTCTTGTGGAGCAAAAGGGGGCGTGCCACGGAACGACTCGACTCGAGTGAGTCGGACTCAGAGTCTCCCAAGGGAAGAAAGAGGGATGAGCGCGTACAGAGCAGCACGACGAGCGCTGTGGCAGTGAGGGCAATCGCGGAAAGCGAGCGAGTCATGGCGACTACGGAAGGGCGCGCGAGACGGGAGCAGCTCCTCTTGAATAATCGAGTCGCCTCGACAACTACGAAAGACAGAGTTCTTGAAAGGCGGAGCGGGTTGAACCACGCGTGAGCGGGGAATGAGAGTCGGCGAAGACTACTTACAAAGAAAAGAAGAAGCTGGGGGTCTGGTTGCGTCCGAAGCACGAGCCGTGCTTATTTCTAGGTCAGGTGATTGTTGCCTTCCTGTGCTTGGTCGGCTAGTTCTTTCGTCTCCCAGTCGGAAAGGTTCCGTTTTGGTCGGCGGCTCCGTCCCTCCATTCTTGCGCCTTCAGCCTATCACCGAATCCCTAAGTCGACTCCTCTGTATGTTCCCCGCGCTACCCACGCTACCCGCGCTCCGCGCAAGCATCCTTTCCCCCCCATCCCCTTCCTCCTTTCACTAGTCCCCCCCTCCCCCCAACAATTGCCTGGGGTGGAGAGAACCTGTGGAATGCTCGTGGAACGAGCCAGTTGCACCGATCTGCCGTCCAGTGACGTTTGGCATGGCGTGACCGCGGAGCCTCAACGGTGCGAACGAGCGGCAAAACCGATGCCCGAAGGATCGGACGACTGAACAACAACGTACTGTATGTGGAACCGTACGGCGAGATTACGATGAGGCAATGGGCGAGGGACAAGGAGCCACGGTTATCAGAGCAGCTTGAATGGTCGGTGCGTTTGTTTGCGACACAACTCTGTTACCGTCTGTGAGGGTCGGCGCACAGCAGTTGCTCCATTTCTTTCAATCACTTGCCCTTCAGTACACTCGATCACTACAGCCCAAGCTCATCCCTCATTCTGTCAAGATATAAAACCAGTTCGGTATCGATTTACAGAAATGAAGGTCTGTCAACCCTGAGGAATCCAAGCAATCCACGTACGTTTCCATGAGCATCCTGGAGGTAGCAAAGTTACCCTTGTTACCGTTTGCATTGGAAACAAAATGCCAAAGCCAACTTGTTATCAGCAAATTGTTCAAAACACACGTAGTACTTCAAAGCCCTGCCACCGCCTGTCCAACACCCACGTCTGCAACCTCCTGGAAAGCATTATCCGCCACAACGCCAAGCCACAAGTTGCCCACTCAAAGATAAGAAACTGGTGACACAAGCTAACACCCACAACACTCTCGACTGTTGCCAGCATTCACTTCTTCTTGGCAGCAGCCTTGGTGACCTTGGCACCAGAGGGGTCCTTCTTCTCAACGCTCTTGATGACACCGACAGCCACTGTTTGCCTCATGTCACGCACGGCGAAGCGACCCAGAGGGGGGTACTCGGAGAAAGTCTCCACGCACATGGGCTTGGTGGGAATCATCTTCACGAAGCAAGCATCACCGTTCTTCACGAACTTGGGCTCCTTCTCCAGCTCCTTGCCGGAACGCCTGTCCACCTTGGTGATGATCTCAGAGAACTTCACAGCAATGTGGGACGTGTGGCAATCCAGCACAGGCGCGTAGCCGTTGCCGATCTGGCCGGGGTGGTTCATGATGATGACCTGCGAGGTGAAGTTGGCAGCCTCCCTGGCGGGGTCGTTCTTGGAGTCGGAGGCGACGAAGCCACGCTTGAGCTCCTTCACCGACACGTTCTTCACGTTGAAGCCAACGTTGTCACCGGGGCCAGCCTCGGGAAGAGACTCGTGGTGCATCTCCACCGACTTCACCTCAGTGGTCAGCCCGCTGGGAGCGAACACAACGACCATACCGGGCTTAAGCACGCCAGTCTCCACACGACCGACCGGGACTGTTCCGATACCGCCGATCTTGTACACGTCCTGAAGGGGCAGACGCAGGGGCTTGTCGGACGGCCTCTTGGGCTCAGACACCTGATCCAGAGCCTCCAGCAGGGTGGGGCCCTTGTACCAGTCCAGGTTGGTGGAGCGCTCAATCATGTTGTCACCCTCGAATCCGGAGATGGGCACGAAGGGAATCTTGTCGGGGTTGTAGCCGACCTTCTTCAGGTACGACGACACCTCCTTCACGATTTCCTCGTAACGAGCCTTGGAGTACTTGGGGGTGGTGGCATCCATCTGCAGAACGCAAACATGTCAGCGTTAATCCCTGAAGACTACGGCCGACACTTGGAAATACGACCATGACAGCAGGGATCAACGAAATTATAAACGCTTGTACCGATTAAAACGCCAATAATTGAGATTAATACTGAACGGCAATTCCAGACTCACCTTGTTGCAGCAGCAGATCATCTGCTTCACACCAAGGGTGAAGGCCAGCAGAGCGTGCTCACGGGTCTGACCGTCCTTGGAAATACCGGCCTCGAAACCACCAGTGGTGGAGTCGATGATCAGAACAGCGCAGTCAGCCTGTAACGCACATGCCAAATAATGTCAGATCGGGCACTCAGGGCATGGAATCAGGAAAAGGAAACATATCTCCAAACAATAACGATGGAGAGCAATCCACTGACCTGCGAGGTTCCCGTAATCATGTTCTTGATGAAATCGCGATGGCCGGGAGCGTCGATGACCGTGCAGTAGTACTTGTTGGTCTCGAACTTCCACAGAGCGATATCGATGGTGATACCACGCTCGCGCTCCGCCTTGAGCTTGTCCAGCACCCAGGCGTACTTGAAGGACCTCTTGTTCATCTCAGCAGCTTCCTTCTCGAAACGCTCAATCACACGCTTGTCAATCCCACCCAGCTTGTAGATGAGATGACCAGTCGTCGTCGACTTGCCGGAGTCGACATGGCCGATAACGACAATGTTGATGTGCAACTTTTCCTTACCCATGTTGGCAACCTGAAATGGGTAGACGTTCGGCAAAAAAAAACAACGAAACAAATGGTATGATTAGCCCGTCAGCGAGCGATACGACACAAGGGAAAAACGGATAAGCTTAAGTGACGCTCCGACTGCAACTCGAATGGCAAGAAATAGTCAAGCAGCCATTAGAACCTAACCTACCTGAGAGAAGAGAAGGGCTTGAGATCAGGCAGGAGGCAGAAAGGACGAGAATGAGGTCCAAACCCCAAACTTCAGCTGGAGGGTGGGTGGGAAGCGATTGGCTCAACAAGACAAGGTGCAACGGGACCCAGCAGACTGGCGTTCTGACGGAACGTAGACGGCAAGGGCACAGAAATGTCTACCTCGACGTCCTAATTGCCGGTTGCGAAAAAACGAAGAAGGCTGTGGTTGGTGGCGAAAATTCCACGTGGCGTTGCCGAGGTGGGTGTATGAGATCTCTGAAGCAGGCAGAATACGAAGCCCAAAAGTCGAGACGTTTTATCTCCCCGAAGAAGCAGCTGATGGCCAAACAATAATGTTGCCGAAACACTGATGGGCCGTATTCTCCCGGATAAAACACCCTAGGGTATTATGAAAACCACTGGGAAAAAATGGGGGGGGTCTCCTCAAACGAAAATCCTGCATAATACCCGGGTCTTATTATATGGTATATTTTTTATCAAGCAGAAAAGATGTGAAACAAAATCAGGGGGTCTGACTTCACTTCAAGATTGTTGATCAGTGCCGCAAAACCGAGTATACGAGGATAACGTGACTGCCCACTGGAATCTGCCACGTGGCAAATTCCAGTGGGCAATTCTGGCATTTGATAGGGTGAAAACAAAGCCAATTGCGTGGCGAGGGTTCATGCAACCGCCGAGGCCGGAATTGCGCACGGTGGTGCGTTGTTACTGTACCAGTCAGTTCTTGACTGGTTTGGGCCACTTGCAGCGGAAGATTCGTCAGCGTGGCGACAGCGAGATTGTGGGAGGGGGGAAATCTTGGCAGATTCTACGGTAAGTGAAAGTACACGCGAAATTTCATCTAGGGAGCAATTCACGCGATATCCCCCCGTAAGGAATCAGAATCAATAACAGCTATAATAGGAATCTGTTAGAATCAGGATGCAACGGAATGATGAGACTAGCAAGTGTGGAAGTACAAATATGCAACCCTAACAACTGTACTCCCTATTGTGCTACTCACTGTAGCCTACAAGCATAGAATTACATTTGACACACCCCCATAGGCTAAGTGAGGGGCATCAAAGCAAGCAAGGTGAACAAACGGTCACAAGACCAGTCAAAGCAAGAAACAAGGCAAGCTCAGGGTGGATCTCAAGGACACCACACAAATTCCGAGCGCAAGCAAGCGGCCACAAGGCCAGTTCAAGAGTTCACTAGGATATAAATAGGAAGCACAACAAGCAGAGCAAACAACAAGACTACAGCAACCGAGGGCCTACCTCAACAAGCACCAACTGCACACAGAACCTGTGGTGATCACCAAGCGCCAAGGCCTTGGTGAAGACGTCTGCAGTGTTGGCCTCTGAGGCCACAAAGTCCAGGCGTGCCTGGCCGCGTCGCTGCAGCTCTCGCAGGAGGAAGTACCTCACGTCAATATGCTTCACTCTGCTCTCCAGTCGAGGCTCTCGACACAGGAGGATCATGGCCTTGTTGTCAGCGTACAAGGTCGGTGCAGAGCGAGGCCGCTCACCAAGGTCGGCGAGCAAGAAGGTCAACCAGCGAAGCTCCTGTGCCGCCATGGCACCAGCGTAGATCTCTGCCTCTGCACTAGAAGTAGCCACAGACGACGACCGTGTAGACCTCCACGACACAGCACCAGCTCCCAGACTGAAGCAGTAACCCTGAGTCGAGCGCTGAGTCTCCACGTCGTCAGCGTAGGAAGAGTCGCACTGACCAGTCAACGCCACTGGCTGAGTCCCTCCAAGCACAAGCCCCATGCCTGATGTAGTCGCCAGGTACTTCGCCACCCTCACAGCAGCTGTCCAGTGGACAGGACGGTGTCTCCCAGTCGCAACAAAGCGAGAGAGGACGCTGAAGGGGAAAGGCGAGGTCCGGCCGAGTACAAGTCATCAGGTACATGAGGCAGCCCACCAGCTCTGCGTAGGGACCACTGGACTCAAAAGGCTCGTCGGGAAAGGGGCCAGTGAGTCTGTGGTCAACAGCAAGAGGAGTGGGCTGTGTGGTGGAGAACTGGAAGTCAAACCGCCGAAGGACCTGCTGCACCATGTGTGACTGCGTCAGTGTGATGGTGCGAGCGGCTCTGTCCCGGGTGATCTGCAAGCCAAGGTAACGCTGCAGCTCACCCAGGTCAGTGCACTTGTGTCTCTTCTGCAGTTCGAACTTCACCTGAGCCAGGGCTGCCTTGTCTGCTGTAGCAAACACCAAGTCGTCGACGTAGACAAGGATAAAGAAAGGAGTAGAACCCGCTCGAACAAACAGCGACGGGTCGGCGGAGGACGGGCTGAACCCAAGGTCACGAAGCGTGGAGCGAAGAGTGTCGTGCCACTCACGGGGCGACTGGCGGAGACCATAGACTGGTCGCCTAAGGCTCCACTGGGTCCCAGGTGGGAAGGTGTCAGTGAAGCCAGGAGGACGGCGCAGCCAGATCTCCTCGTGCAGTCGGCCCTGGAGGAACGCAGTGGAGAAGTCGAGGGAGTGCAGCTCGTAGTCTCGCTGCGCTGCTATGTGGAGTAACACCCGAAGAGTAGTCATCTTCGGGGTCGGGGCGAAGGTCTGGAAGAAGTCAACTCCCTCACGCTGACTGAAGCCCCTAGCCACGTAGCGCGCCTTGAACACCGGCGGTGCTCCAGGCGGCCGCTTCACCTTGAAGAGCCACATGCCATCGACTACGTTCGCCCTGGGAGGGGGAACTGCGTCGACGTAGGTGCCTGTGGATCTCCAAGACGCCAACTCTGAGTCCATAGCCGCTTTCCACTGAGAGGCCCACGCCCCTGACACTGCCTCGCGGTAAGTGCGAGGAGTCGGTATGTCAAGGGCGTCGGGGTCTCCCTCAGGGGAGAGCAGCATGGCACACACAGAGGGAGAAGCGGCTGCCCAGTACTCCAGCTCAGACTCTCTGTCCTCTAGGACGTCACAGCCAAGGGCAAACTCACCCCCGACGGACAGAGGACGGTAGGGAGGAGCTGGCACCACACGGGTGGCGTAGTTAAGGCGGCTGGCGGCAGCAAACTCAGCGACAGCGGCAGTGAGAGCAGAGACCGACGACGGAGGGAAACGAGAGTCGGTGACAAGAGTGGCGAGGACACGTGCGGCAACAGGACGAACAGTGCGGTAGTAGTCAGTGATAGGAGTGGGGAGGGCTGGGAGAGAGGACGGAGGAGGAGACGGGAGAACGGACACAGGAGAAGGAGAACGACGACGAGACGTACACAGGAGGGCAGTGTGGAGGTCAGTAACAGGGGACGAGTGACGAGCACGCGGAGGACAACGAGTGACCAAGTCGCGACGGACCGAAGGAGGAGGAGACTGGGGAGGAGGAGAAGACCAGACCGCCGGACGGTCGTCAGGAGGAGGCAACGGAGGAACAAACACAGGAGGAGACTGGGAGCGGACAGGAGGAGAGGAGGAAAAGCCAAGGGCCCGCAGGCCACTCACAGGTGGGAACAACTGCCGCTCCAGAGGAAGCTGCGGTGGCGGCTGCGGCTGCTGCTGCTGCGGCGGCGGCTGCGGCTGCGGCTGCTGCTGCTGCGGCTGCTGCTGCTGCTGCTGTTGCCGCTGCTGCTCCAGAAGGTCCAGCACCCGCAGCTCCTGCCGCTCCCTCTCCAACCGCTCCTGCTCCTCACGCTCACGCCGGCGGGCAGCCTGGAGTCGTGTGTCGTGGCGGTGGGGAGGCGGAGTGGACTCCGCAGAACCAGGGTCAGACTCCTCAGACTCAGCACCCCCAGAACCAGCACCTCCAGTGCCAGGACCTCCAACTCCAGCACCCCCAGAACCAGCACCTCCAGTGCCAGGACCTCCAACTCCAGCACCCCCAGAGCTAGCGCCACCTGCGCCAGCACCTCCAGCTCCAGCACCCCCAGAGCTAGTGCCACCTGCGCCAGCACCTCCAGCTCCAGCACCCCTAGAGCTAGCGCCACCTGCGCCAGCACCTCCAGCTCCAGCACCCCGCGACCGAGTACCCCCAGACCTAGCACCGCCAGTGGCTGCACCTCCAGCTCCAACACCAACCGAGTCCACAGTAACCTGTCGCGGAAGTGCCGAAGGCTGCTGAGGGGACTGTGAGGAGGACTGTGGGGAGGGAGACGCTACCTGACGCGCGACCGAGGGTAGAGGGGTAACGTGGGACACACCAGACGGGGCAGGACCAGGGGGGGGCGGGGGTACCGGAGGAGCGGGAGCAGGAGGAGGAGAGGGTGCGAGGAAAAGAGGGGGAGGGGGTACCGGGAGACCTCGACAGGGGTACCGGGTGTAGTAGGACACGGACTCGTCAAACCGGACGTCACGGGAGTCTAGGAAGTGGTGGAGGGGAGGGTGGTAAAAGGACCAGTCGGCAGAGTCCACTGGGAAACCAAGGAAGACACAGGGGACGGCGCGTGCCGAGAGCTTGTCCGCGGAGGTGTCGCGAACAAGTGCAAGGCAGCCCCAGACTCGAAAGGCCGACCCGACACCAGGGGAACCAGTCCAAAGACAGGTCGGTGAAACCTCGGGCCGCGAGACACGCGTCTGGAGGTTCAGCTGGTGTGCGGCGTAGCGAACCGCGTGGGGCCACAGAAAATGGGGCGCACGGGCATGGATCATGGACGTGCGGGCGATGTCCATGACCAAGCTTATGCGGCGCTCAGCAACCCCATTCTGCTGTGGGGACTCTGGCAGCGTCCAGGACTGGGTGATGCCCTGTTCGCCGCAAAATCCGCCGAGAATGCCGGAGCGAAACTCGCCCCCACGGTCGGAGTGGAGACAACTGACTTGACGACCACGAGTGCCCTTAGTGGCTAGAAGCCACCTGATCAGCGTAGCAGTCACCTCGGACTTCTTCGCAAGAGGGAACACTGTGGTGTACCTGGAGAAGTCGTCAACGACCACCAGAAAGTAACGCTCCCTCCCAGACCCCTGCGTCGGGGCAGGGCCCCAGACGTCCAAGTGGAGAGTCTCGAAGGGAGCGGTGGCCGGACGAAGGGAGGAGGAGTGGGGAGTGGCGCGTAAGCGACCGGCGACGCACGGAGTGCAAGGAGGGGCAAGCGAGAGAGGGAGCGACGGGAAGGTGCGTGGGAGACCTGAGACAAGTCCCTGACTGAGCATGCCACGTAGGCGAGGGAGCGACGGGTGGCCAAGGCGGTGGTGCCACAGGACGGTGCGGTGGGTGAGAGAGCGACAGGAGCAAGACGCAGCGACTGGACTGGGCACAGCGACCGGACCGGACACTACTACCTGGCTAGACACAGCAACTGGACTGGGGACCTGTGCCGGAGGGGACGCAACGACCTGAGGGGAGGACGCGACCGGGGAGCGCTCGGTGTGAAGAACGTAGAGACCGGAGCGGGGCTCCCTGGTGAACGTGGCCAGAACAGCACCTGTGGTAGCGTCTGTACAGACTGCAGTCCGCCCACCCCCCACGAAGGTAACCGTGATCCCCCTGTCCTGGAGGTATCCAACACCCACCAGGTTCCGAGTGAACGAGGGGATGTGGAGGCCGCGCAGGACACCAGAGGGGACCACAGGGCACGGGAGGGTGGTGGAGCTACGCGCAACGGCTGGTCCAGAGGTAGGATCAGCCAGAGCCACCGACACAGGTGTGAGGAGTGGTGTAAGGGTCATGTGGTCGCGGAAGAAGCACTGAGAC